CGGCTACGAAACTATGTGAACGAAGAAAATGTCTCCGAGTTATCGGTGTGACCGGCCGGAAGTGTCGATACTGGAAGACGAAGAACGAGAAGTTGGAAATATTCAAATTCAATGTGATGATTCTTTGTACAAAAATTGTAATTGTATTTCCCTTAACAGAGACAAGTGTAGAGGGAATATTTGTACAAAAAATATCCGTAACATTAAATTCGTTGTTAGAAAGATAAGGTGCGTGTTTTTTCTTGACTGAAGGAGTAAATATTGGAAAACAATCGAGTAAAACGTTCAATGATAGTGTTTTTTGTTAATTTAAAATGCTGTTCGGTGGAGACGTCAGGGTAGTGCATGTTTATGTTTGTGTGACGAAGAATGAGGCAGTTCCCGGTTAAATAACCCTCGTCCCATGCTATTTGTGGTAACGTCTATCCAGGAAAGGAGTGCATAGACCCATCTCTCAAATTCAAGATCTCCGCCATCATCACACAACTTCGGCATTTGCTGAAAGAACAGAACCACAAAAGAACCTGGACTTTGTAGAAAGAAATTTACTATAGTAATTATTATTATTATTATTATTATATATAATGTATCATATTATAATGGATAGACTAAAATGAGTGTCCCCCCCTTTCACCCTTCACATCGGGAGGGGACGAACAGTAGCAGCGCCGGCGTCGTTTGTCCTGTGTAACCGAAATTCTCTCTCCCCATGAATGAAGTGCAACTCCAGTCTTCTGTTCGTCTGCTGCTTGCGCTGTTCGAGCAGGAACTACAAACATGTGTTACTTATGAAAAGTAATATAAGGGAAACCACACGTAGACTTTAGAAATCCCAAACCCCCAAATCCTTTGTTTTGACATCATCTTGTTAATATATAACATGAATGGTATTCATCTGACATTTGCGTGTTACTTCCAGCAGACAGAAATTAATTTATTTAAAATTTCCCTCATTACTGGGTAAGTAATCACGTGGATATAACACAACGATGGAGTTTTTTTTTTTTTGCAAGAACGCGAATTATTTTAAGACGGGACAATGATTGTCCATAGAAATGGTGCTACTGGCCTGATCGAAAAATAGATGTAATACAGACCAATTATTGTTTCTGCTGGCGTCTAATTATCAGAGAGGACCCCCTTGTATCCTGGAACAAACATGCAAATGTCATTTAATACCGTCCATGCCGAAAGAAGCACAGTGCATTCCATAGTTAACATAAATGTATGATTTTCCTCTTCATGTCAATGTAGAACCAGTTCAGAAATTAGTTGAACAGAAGTAAATACCTGTAACTTTTTCAGTGAGAACTGAAGAGTTGAAAAGTAATAGCCTTCGTTCACTACTCGAAAAGATCAAGAAATCGACAGAGCTATTAATTTATACAGATTTTACAAATTACTTTCTTAAATTTCTTAATAATTGTCTATATTTATCTTATTGTACTCTATAAGCTGTGTCATAAATTTCAAAAACAACAATTTTGTCCTCTGGTTGTTAGTAACAAAGCAGTGAACGAAAAACGCTCTTGAGACGCTAGCATTTTTAGTGGTCTCTAGTATATTTTGTCTGCAGTGTGCTTCTCTCGGCAGAATTAGCGTACAGTAAGATACCAGTGTTAAAATTATTGATATGAAATCGTTCCTGCGACACCCCTCCGCCTCCGTTCTCACCCCATGCTCTTTGTGCCTCCCCCTCCCCCGATCACAGTTCCATCCTACCTCACCTTTCCGTCATTTTAATTAAAACAAAAAAGTACTATTGTGCTGAAAAATATTTCAAAAAAGGTTGTGCTGTTGTCAAGAAAAAATCATAATTGTTATGACTGTTGTGATTTACTTTTTTATTTATGCTTTATTTCCTTCACCATTTATCTGAATCCGACTGCCAATTATCCATGTGTCCAGATTCCCGTACGAGATATACGTAAGTTAAGAGCCTAGATAATAATTGTGATCAATACAGCAAGGCTTACATAAGTATACACGGACATTGCAACTCAGGTGATTAGTTTCTTTAATGCAGCTCTTCAATTAACATTGCAGGAAATGGTTCCCCGTCCACGCAATACATCACTAATTACATACTCCACGAGCCAAGGTTCGACAGTTCTTCAAAAGAACAAAGAAAATGACATCAAGAAACGTGTTCTTTTTATTTCGACTAATTTTCGTAGTAGGCCTTGGTACGTTTTTATAAGTACTGTAAGAGTCTCTTCAAAAATTGGCTTGAACGTTGTAACAACGTTTTATTAAATTACGTCTGATTGATTTTAAAATATATTTCTCATAACCTCACATTACAGTACGTTTAATTTGTATTAAATTAAATGTGTGATGTTGAAGATCAACATGAAAATGGCTAAAACGTTGGTGTCATACATGAAAGAACGTTGCAACCGAGTGGTTAGCACTCTCGTTTTATATTCCTGAGATCCCGAGTTCACATCTCTGCCCGGAGACCGGCTAACCCATTTTTTTTTTTTTCAATTCCCCAATGTAAATTCCTGGTAATATCTTAAATCACGTGACATCACGTCATATTCGTTCCACATCCTTTCGAAGTCATTATTTATTAACCATCGTGTGAGAAACTAACTAGGTTCATTGTGTGCCACTTTTCTTTTGCTAGGATTTACAAAACTTTCCTTCGATATTTCACAAATATTCTGGTTGTAGGGACTGTAAATTAAATATGAAATTTTACTGTAACGGAGCGTCGTCATTTGTCTCCTTGCAAAGTGTGGGACTATAAAAACCCATTTCTAAGCCACACCAAACCTGCTGCTTCTGTCTCACAGGTAGAATTTCCAGTATTATCCATCTTTTGATTTGTATAAAAAGCCTATCCTGGCAAACGAGAAATGTGATCTCTCCGTTTATATTTCAGTCATACTAGCATCTGATCAAATGTTTTTAAGTTTAACTGAAAACACTGAATAATAATTTACGTTAATTAAATGACTTAAGTTATCTTCCAGAACGGGTAAATAACGTTTGTAACTCTGGATTTAAGTCACAGACACTACAAGTGGATTTTAATGAGTCGAGCAGAATGACGTCCTTCACTTCCTACGTGATTCTGCTTACATAATCGATTCTGATGATTGTCTGTTGTAGATATGAATTTGATGTTGACATAGCGCAGGAACCATAATGCAGAGATGCATAAATAGTATTGATGGCAAAATAACTGACGGTACTGATGTACATTTCACAGAAACACAAGGCGTTTTCATCTTTATTTCGATAGGTGTAAACCAAACATATTTAACAATCCTATTACCTTAGCATTCATTAATCTTAACTGTAAAAATGATATATTTGTAAAGCACCTTTTGAAGTGTAAAAAGAATGTCAGCTTTCGTTGAGGTCCGTGTTGTATATTATGTATACTTAGCATAAAGAGAATTTTTTTTTTAGAAAACTGATGAATATTCAGTCTTGTTTCACGTAAAGCACCGGTTATGTTTCATCATGACTAACATTCTATTTATTCTTTAAAATCTTATAGTCACTCAGTCAAGAAATTCTGCATCTTTTATGGAACCCAAAGGGTCCTTACCAGGTCACAAGAGCTCCCTACTGGCCCCTTAGCTAGAAGAAAATTAATCCAGTCCAAACGTTTTAACCCATTTGAATATTATATTTGTTAAAGAACACTTCTTCTGATGAATTTAGTACAGACTGCATATTACTAAATTTCAACAAAATTCTCTGGTGTGTCTCAATGTTAAGCTAACAGGAAGCAAAATCCATAGGCGTTATCCAGTCGGAGGCATTTGTGTAACAATTTGAAGCCATTAATCGTAGACAAGATCCACTGGAAAGTATCGATAAAGTTAGTTCCATTTGATGCGAAATCCTTGCAGTAATTTTAACAGACTGCGATAATGGTTGTTT